GACCCCCTCTCCCCCCCGAGGGCACAAATTTTTGTGCACCGGGCCTCTAGTTCATTCATAAAAACAGTGGACACTTACTTGCTGCGCTCAGTTCTTCAACGGACCCAACAAAGACATCCTGAGTGAACACGGGCTCGTTGTCATTGATATCGAGAACTTTAATGCGCAGTTCTAATGGCTTCTCTAGATGGTTGCCTCTTTCATCCAAAGCATAACCAGTTAGCTGAAATCATGGCACAAATCATAGAAGAGATTAGATTTAACCTAAGGTAATGACCTGCCATGGTACCAAAAAATAATAAAACAAATCATGACAGTTACCAATGAAAAAACTTCAAACTAATAAATATAAAATTGTTCTTACCAGGAAATAGGGCGTTTCTTCTCGATCAAGAATGCTGGTAACGTTCAGTTCTCCCGTGTCTTTATCAAAGACAAACACACCATAAGGTGGCTCTGTGATGCCTTTCCCAGTGTATTTGTATGTAATTTTTATTCTTTTTTCTTCTGCAATATCAGAATGTATCTAGCATGGAAATAACAGGGGAATATTATCTCTAGATAGAGTATTTGGAAAGTTGGGGAAATTTAACAAGATTTTTTCCTTTTCATGTAAATTTTATTCTTAACGACGTATATAATTAAAATTAGTAAGAAGAAGAGTTATTCCCTATTGAACCCCAAAGAATCAATGCATTTTCGGGAAACATAACGAAAGAATGTGTGAATGACTGAGATATTTCAGAAAACCAAACCAAACCAAAATGAAAACCTCAATTGCTCACACACATACTGGGATGTGACGCCTGGATTACAAATCTGGGTTTTAGAAGGCTTTCTTGAAACGACCTGTTGCTGGGAAATGGAAAATACTATCTTCCGTTACGTAGCTGCTCTTCCTTTCCAGGAGCTCGTCATGCATGACGTGTATAAGACTGGAAGGTGAAGGGAAACTTAGAAGTGTCTGCGCCAGAAACCAAGCAACACAGGGATGGGAAAGGGTGAGGCAGGGAAGGGAACCCTTAGGACCTGACACTGCAAATACCTGTGGGGCGGGGCTTCCAGCAGAGGGAGGGAAGGGCCAAGGGGAGGGGCTGGAATGTGGAAGGAGCTTAGATCAGTGAGGGATGTAGCAGAGTGCGGATGGGGTGCTAGGAGCTGAGGTCAGCGAGGAGGTCAAGGTCACTAAATCCCAAGGGAAGCAATTGAAAGGGTCTCAGGAATCGGGGGAACAGGCTTCGATTTGTCTTTTCAACCCATCACTCTGGCTGCTTTTGGGAGAATGAACTGTGATGGAGCCGGGCGTTGGCATGGGGGTGGCAAGAGTGAGAGCAGGGACACAAGGTCAAGACTTTCGGGAACACAGGTCAGAGATAACGCTGACTTGGACTAGGGGGTGGCAGTGGAGAGAAGTGGGCAGATCTGGAACATATTTCAGGGGTGAAACTCATAATCTTGCTACATTTTTAAAAAACTGGAAGGAATTATAGTGCCATTTACTGAAATGGGTAGAACTTAGAGCACCTTTAAGGGGGAAAAAAAATCAAGGGCTCAGGTTCGCACATGAGATGTAACCATAGAAAAATAGGACACTGAGCATGAAAGGGAGTTATTAATTATTGAGCCAGGACAGCGACATTAACGGAGAGGGTCTCAAGCTGGATAGATGGTCACCTTATCTGTTCGGTATCAGTTTTTCATTTTGAAAATTACTCTTCAAGTATAGGGTGGCAGAACAGGCCACTCCCAAATATGCCACCTTGGTATAGGTTTATTTTGAGCTGAAGGCAATTGAGAAGAAGTGGATATAAAAAAGCTCTCTGCCCTCCCCCTATTTGTCTAGACGCAGGACATCAATTTATAAAGGTGATCTCTCTCTCCTCTATCAAGGACAAAAGTTAATCGTCACCGACAACTTTAGACCCTTTTCAGTATTGAGATGGCACAAGGACTCCACATAACTTTACTAACGAGTCTTTTCTACCATCAGTTTACCATATATCTGTCTTCCCACCATTTGCTGCCCCTACAAATTCAAGGTCCTTTCCCTTTGCCTTGTCACTTCTCTAAGAATTGTTCCTTTCCTAAGATGCCCGAATTCTAACCAAACCTTTGAGTTACTCATCTCTGGATACTCCCACGTGTGACATGCATAATATACACGTTAATAAACTTGTTTACTTTTCTCCTGTTAGTTTTTCTTTTGTCAGTCCAACAAGTTCCCAGGGAGAGAACCTAGGAGGGTAGCAGGAAAAAGAAATTTTCCTCCCCAGCATATACTTCTTTTGATTATTGTAACATTTACACAGAGATTCAACTGGTGCTAGATCCCTTAACTCTTAATTTAATCAAAGCCCCAAATTATATATATGTCTTCACCAATGATGGTGCATCTTCCAGAATGGGAAAGAGGAAGTTTTTATTTTTTTTTAAAATTAAGTTTATTAGGTGACATGATCATATAGGCTTCAGGTGTGGGTTTCTATTTTTTTAAGTTAAATTTATTGGGGTGACACTGGTCAATATAAGAAAGAAGATCTTAAAACTAGAGGTTCCTGCTAAAAATTAAGCTTTGCTAATTTTCAAATACATCTGCAATATTAAAAACCTAATTAAGTACATTATGGAATTTTCCTTAACTTTGTATGTAAGTGGACATACAAGTTGTCTTCCACCACATTTTGGTAATATGCATGCATTTTCTGTTCCTCTTTAGAAAGTACCTTGGCGATCGGATTCTTTTTGGACAGATCCTCTCCTTCCCGCAGACTCACGGGGGCGGTGATCCAGGCTCGCTTCTGCCGCACTAAGTGAGTATGTTTAGGAAGCGGCTCATTTTCATTTCTGGTGTGTAAGGTCTACAACAACAAAACATTGCCAAAAAGTGATTAAGTACCTAAGACATCAGGGTGGTATCATGGAATTTACTAGAACTTTAAAGAAAGCTGTGTACATTTCAAGGTATAAATTTCCTATTTATTAACAGACTTCCTTTTCATAGAGGAAATGTGTTTATACTCTCGCAAATTCTATAGGAGTTCAACAGATTGTCTCCAAACCAGTATAGCACCTGGGGTTTCATTTTTATCAGAAAGAAAAGATTTCCCAGAGTGAAGAGTTTAAAAGGTTAAAGAATAATTTAGTGACCTTACAAATAAGCAAATTAAAATTAACATGAATTTTTTTTTCTTACTAATGGAAAATGAAGTTCAGTTTTTCTGTGGTAGCTTATATTTTAAAAATAAATTACTAAATGTTTTAAGACTAAATCTTAGTAACCTATTGATCTCAATTTGACTAAGAGTAGTGAAAGTGTCAGTTAATGAATTTATTGTTTTAATGATGGGGTCAAGGTTTAAATTGCCCATATTTTTTTTTAGAACCTTTCCGTGGAAAATGATTGTATAAATTTTCAATTGTGCTTTAACAGATAATACAGGTTTTATCCAAGGAAAATTTCCATACAGCTGACCTAGTGTCTTAAGATCAGAAATGATTATTCTACTAGGTTTCTCACTTCCTAATTTTGTAGTTCTATATGATAGGTATTTTATTTAGAAATATTTACACTGCTTATCTCTAGGTCTTAATTTTTTTCCTTGCTTTTAGTTGAAAAATTCTTCTAGAACTTAAAAAATTAAATTATGTAACAAAACATTAAATAACACTGAAGTTTATAATGTAAAAGTATAAAATTTCCCTCTACATTTTCACTCACACTTCAGAGTAGTCACTGTTAACAACTGGATGAATGAGTATCTTCTGTGGTCTTTTCTTATGACCATAGAGTTGCACACATATAAAGGTCTTTTTCTATAAAAATGCAATGTACTGTGCATGGTTCCTTACCTCTAAATGGAGTGCATTTCCAAAGTGAAAGCAGATCTGAAAAATAAAATTATTTATTATTTAATACAATTTATTACACCAGTTTAAATATTTTTTAAATGAATAACGAGGATATTACAGACATTAACAAGAAGAAAATAGGTTTAACACCACCACTATTCTCCTTTGTCAAAAGGACACAAAATTTGTTTTCTCCCCTTTGCCTCCCTGCCATGTCCAGGGCTAGAGGGAGGAATCGACACTCTTTTTGGTCCACAATGTCTTCTCAGAAACTCAGAACACAACGAATATCTGAAAACCAACCCCAAACTCTCCTGTGATTTTCATCTCTTGTTCTTGGGGAACCCACTTACCTTTCCTCAAGGTCTTTAGTGTGCAAAGCCGCCGAGCACTCCAACTCCCGCCATCCCCCATGGGTCATACACATGGCTACCCATATCCAGACTTCATTCCTCACCTTCCTGGGTCCCACCAACTCTTTTCTCTGGTTCTTATCCAGCACTGTCACATTGTGAACTTCATCATTTCACAGAACTACACGCAGCATGTTTACCCTAACATCTGGACAACACCTCCTATCCTGCCTTTTGATGTTTGCTTCACTTTTCTCCTGGCTTAATCCAAACCAGCACTTTCTTTTTTAAAAAAAATATACTTTATTGATTTTTTACAGAGAGGAAGGGAGAGGGATAGAGAGTTAGAAACATTGATCAGCTGCCTCCTGCACAACCCCACTGGGGATGTGCCCGCAACCAAGGTACATGCCCTTGACTGGAATCGAACCTGGGACCCTTCAGTCCACAGGCCAACGCTCTATCCACTGAGCCAAACCGGTCAGGGCCAAACCAGCACTTTCTAATGCGGTCGCCACGTGTGGCTATTTACACTTGAACTTAAATTATTTGTAATTAATAATTCACTTGCTCAACAGCCACGTGAGGTAAGTGGCTTGAGACATCGCAGACACCCATCACTGCCGACAACTCGATTGGACGCTGGTAGATTCCTACCAGCCATCCCAGAGACGCTGTCTGTGACGCAGCCAGCCCTTCTTCTTTTGATCTGCTAATGTTCCTGCTTCACTTTCCCCCCAACTCTGTGAGCCCAACTGTTTTTCTCTTGGATCCTGACCCTGTACTGACAACAGTGCTTGGTAGGGCCCAGGGCCGGTTGGATCCGTCACACACCCATGCTCTCTAACACCTGCTCCTTCCACAGGGCTGCTGTTGGTTTCCAGGGCGACCATATATTTATGTTTTCCTCCAGAGTCCAGATGACACCGTGGTGCCCTCTGTTAGCAGCCCTTTCATTCTCAAAAGTTTGCTCATTCAGACCACAAAGTACACAGCCTCTTATCTTTGTGTCTCTTATTGTATCCCTATCATGCATAGGATTCCACACCTCATGACCTCATCTAAACCCAGTCACTTCCCAAAGGCCCCACCTCCAAAAGCCATCACTGGGAGATAAGGCTTCTTCCAAGGAATTTGGGGGGAACACATTCAGTCCTTAACTATGTATGAGAAAATTCTAGCCAATGAGATATCAGGAGAGTCTGGAAAAATGCCCCTCACTGATGAGAAGAGAAGCACACTGCCAACCTCTCTCCTCACCTGCCCTGGAGATGGGTGAGTGAGGATGAGACTTGGAATGGCTACAGCCAGCTGTGACCACGAGGAGAAAGCCAATGCAATGGCAGAGAAGCCAAACTGAACCTGCGGCATCTCGGAGTCACAGAACTGGTCAAATTTGGAGCTGCCCCATCTCTAACCCACTTTTTAAATATTTTTTATTTTTATTTTTTAAAATATGTTTTTATTGATTTCAGAGAGGAAGGGAGAAGGAAAGAGAGATAGAAACATCAATGATGAGAGAGAATCATGGATCGGCTGCCTCCTGCACGCCCCCTACTGGGGATTGAGCCCGTAACCTGGGCATGTGCCCTGACTGGGAATCAAACCGTGACCTTCTCGTTCATGGGTTGATGCTCAACCTCTGAGCGACACTGGCTGGGCTATTTAAGCCACCGTTAGTTGTGTTTTGTTACTTATATCTGAAAGCAACCCACCTCATAAGCTCACTTGGCATGGTTATTACACAAATTAAAAGAAATAATACACAAGTATCTTTATTGCAAATGACTGGCATGTAGCAGGCACTCAGTCAATAGAATTATGATGCTATTTCCTCTATTCCAAGACCTGCATTTTCCTCACCTTAAAATTTCTGAAATTTGGACTCAGTCATTCAGGCCTTCAATTTCCTACAATATGCTAAGTAATATAATGTTCTTAGATGTTGGGGAGAGAGACAAAAGTAGATTGTGATGAGAGCTGTAAAGAACGTTAAAGCAGGGGCAGGGTGGTAGGCAGTAATGCAGGACTGAGAGGGGCTCCAGGCAGTGCCCTGCGGGGACTAGCCAGGCCGTGGAGTGGGACTGATGGCAGCGCCATCGAGGTGGGTGCTGCTGGAGGAGAGTGAGTCGGGGGATGATGGCTGGGCTTTGGGGTGCTGGTGATCTTGTTTCTTAATCCTTTGTAGGCCATAAGCGTCTATAGATGCAAGTGGTGGACCTTTGAATTAAATTCAAAATATCGTGGCGTGTGGGGATGGTTTCCGTTTTGGACGTGTGGCAATTAACCCGCTGGTTACGTGGTGTGTGCAGTTTGAGAAAGTCCAGTAATTCAATACTCTTGTAACATGTGCACTTTTCTGTATGTTACACTAACAAGCTACAAAGATTTGTGTGCGTCTTGAAGCTGAGGGGGTCTGGGAATCGACATGATAGTGCTGTTGGCTTTTTATAGCACCTGTTGCAACAGCTTGTTTTCGGACTTAACAAGGCAGGATGGACTGAAATATCCGCTCGGCACTCATTGCACAGAACCGAGAGAATCGTATAACATTCTGCCAGCGGTGGAGCTGTTTATGCCAGCGGTCGCCAGCCGGGGCGGTGAGGTCCGAAAGGTTGGCGACCGCTGGTTTATTGGATTGAAAACAATTAAGATCTTAACTACTCTTTTCTAAAGTGCATATGTAATTTGGATGTTTCCTTGGAACTCTGCACCGTGTAAAACACATTCTTCATTTAGAAAAGTGGTTCTCACCTGGAGATGTTGCACCCCCACCCAGCCCTCACTCAGGATATTTGGTAACGTCTAGAGACGTTTCTGGGTGTCTGGTCGGGTTGGGGGTGGGGAGGTGAGTGCCGCTGGCATCGAGTGGGTAGAGACCAGAGATGCTACAGGCCTACAATGCACAAGGCAGCTCCTCTCTCCCCCGACCCGGCCCTCTCCCCCCCAAAGCATTATCTGGTTCCCAAGGGCCAAGGGCCAAGGTTGAGGAGCCCTGATTTAGACCGCGGTTCTCTGGGTGGACATCACTGTAGTAACTAGGGCCATGATGGTGCTACCAGCTCCACGGGACCATGAGGATTTATGTAAATTTCCAAGTTGGTAGCGCATTGCAGGCGATATAAAGGGAACAGCTAACACCTCCCTCCACTCCTTCCCACTCCCTCGGGCTCTGTCCTCGGGCCGTCCTGGAGGCCACTCCAGGTTCAAACACTGGAAGGTGGCTGCACCGGAGGCCCCTATGGTTTCTCCCGAGTATGAAATCTGTAACTCTTTTCTCACAAGAAACGTGATGATGGGAAAATATCCTGAGCAGCATGCCATTAAGACTGAAGAGGAGCCCTAAGCGGTTTAGCTCAGTGGACAGAGTGTCGACCTGAGGACCCAAGGGTCCCGGGTTCGATTCCGGTCGAGGGCATGTGCCTTCGTTGCAGGCTCCGCCCTGGCCCAGGCCCTGGTCAGGACTTGTGCAGGAGGCAACTAATTGATGTGTGTCTCTCACATTGGTGTGTCTCTCTGTCTTTCCCTCTCTCTTCCACTCTACCTAAAAATAAATAAATGGAAAAATATCCTCGGGTGAGGATTAACAAAAACAGCAACCAACCAAA